GTGATAGTTATAGCTCTGGCTGGGTTTTATTGTGAGTCCTGTTTCGTCTGGTGTGACATGCAGAAGAGAGTGGTGATAAACTTGTAAGAAACCTCACAGGCCTGTAATGTTTATTGGTTATTTGCTGGTAAAATTCAAATGCTGTTGAAAACCTGGCTGCTCTCTGGGAAATATTTATTTTCCCCTTTGAGAGTTGTTTTGAGTCTTTTACCTCCTTAAAAGTCTGAGTTCCTAAGTAATCTAACTGTAGCTAAAGTATGGGTACCATTATAATCTTTTATTGCCACCGTTTTATGAGTATCAGTAAGAATATATAGTCTTTTACCTCCTTAAAAGTCTGAGTTCCTAAGTAATCTAACTGTAGCTAAAGTATGGGTGCCATTATAATCTTTTATTGCCACCGTTTTATGAGTATCAGTAAGAATATACGTGATCCTCACTGGTTATTTTATAAACACCCAGGGAATACATGCCAACTTTAGAGGAGTTCTTTGAAGAAGCCATTGAACAGGCAGACCCTGAAAACATGGTTGAAAATGAATATAAGTAAGTAATGTTTCTCATGAGCCAATTTTAATTTTCTCCAATATTTTTTCTTAGGAATTGTGTATGTACTAGAAAGCTTACTAAGGGAGGCAGTTGATAGAGTATAATTTCCCTCTTAGGCGAGTTTATGTACCAGGTTGACATTACTACACATCCTGATTTCAAGGTTTATTCCCATTGACGCACAAGCATGACTTGGACTCATTCTCGTTTCAAAATATAAGGACCTGCCCCCCCATCCACATCTCCCTCCAACTGTCACCTCTTTTCTCAGTTCCCCTTCGCAGCACCATACCTCCCAACGCCCATTATCCTCATCGCCTTCATTTCCTCACCTCCGGTTCTCTCGTCAGCCCACGCTGTCATTCCACTGAAATAGCTCTTGCTGAGGTCACCTCTTTTCTCTTCTTGACCTCTCAGCATTTGCCAGTTGATCTGTCCCTCCATGTTTTCTTCTCTCGGCATCCATGAAACTATACTCTCCCACTGTTTGTCCTTTTACTTCGATGCCCACCTGACTCCATTGCTGGCTTCTCAACCTTTGCCCAATGCTGAAATTTTGGAACAACTTAAGGACTCAGTCTTAGCCTCTTCTCTAGGGTCTTCTTGATGACACCACGTAGTCTCATGGTTTTAAATAGGCATTAGAAAGTAGTGATTTAAGGGCAAGGGCCCTCTTGTATCTCCTGTCCCTCTTTCTTCATTTGTTAAATAGTAACAGTACCTATTTCACAGGGCTGTTCTGAAGATTAAATAAGATGCACTTTGAACCATACATGGCGTGTAGTTAGCACTCAGTATTCATGACTAGTGTGACGCTGTGACTAGAGTGGTTAGTTATGACTAGTCTCTGTAGTCAATAGCCATGACTTAGCCAGTGATCTTTAAAATAAATGCACAAGTTCAGTCTCTGCTTAAGTAAAATCTTACAGGGACTGCCTGTTCCAAACTCCTTCCTGGGGCCCAAAAGACCTCCTTGGCCTTGCTCATACCTGCCTGTGCAGCCATGACTCTCCTCTTGGCTCCTTTTCTCTCTGCTTTAACCACACCAGCCCTTTTTCTCTGCTTCACCTCTGAGCTCTTTCCCTTCAAGACTTTCGTGCTCACTGGCTCACTTGCTTGAACCACTTTTCCCCCAGGTCTTCCCACGGCTCCCTGTCACTGCAGATCTCCCTGGCTGAGAAGCTCCTCCCCATCTCAGTCCCCTCTACTGTATTCCTGTGGTGATTTCAAATTCTCATTTCTCGTGGTTTTCTCATCCTTGCCCCTGTCTAAAGTTGTCTTCTACCGTGTGTGTTTCAGTAATGATGCACACACCAACACGTTCCACAGTACTGTACGTCAGGTACTAAGTGCTTACCTTATATCACTTCACAGTTATGGAAACTGAAGCACGGAGGGCAGATAATTCACTGAAGTTGTCAGTAAGTGGCAGAGCCAGGAAAATCATTCTGGCCTCAAGGGCCCTGCTCTTCACTACAATGTTATTCTGCCTCAACTCCTGGGGCCTTATTATAAATTACATAATAAGTATTTGTTATTGAAACAGTATTAACTTGTTATATAAGACTAGGTGGATTCATTCTTAAAAGTAATCTAGGGTACAATGTTATTCTGCCTCAACTCCTGGGGCCTTATTATAAATTACATAATAAGTATTTGTTGTTGAAACAGTATTAACTTGTTATATAAGACTAGGTGGATTCATTCTTAAAAGTAATCTAGGGTTGGTTTAAGAACTTGAATGGTGTGGATCTGTGAATAAGGTAATTTGTACATGTAATTGACAGGGAATTTTGAAAATGCTTAAGAGAATCAAATTGTATTAAACAGAGATGTGTTAAAAAGGAAGCCTCTTACCTATTAAGGCAAAGTCTGAGCAGGCGTTAACTTGGAAGAGTCTGCACTGTCTAGGGGTAGTTTTGCAGATCTTCACATCCCAACAACACATCCCAAAGATAATTTAGGCTCGTTTATGAGATAACAAAATGAACAAGATTGCTAATCTGTGAATTTTGGGGGCAGGAGAGACTTCCAAAAACTCATTATAGGAATAAAAAATTTGTGCTTTGGATTCTTCTGCAGCTTTGCCTGTTTTGGGAGCATTACCTTTAGAATTTCTCTGATGTTTGTGTTTCTCACCTTATTGTGTACTGTCTGTTGTTGCTGTGCTTCATTAGGGAACAGTTCATGGATTCTGGCCTTGACATCACTGCTTATTGTGTTGGCTACTGGGTGCATCTCTTTAGTATTTGAGCCATTTTTATTCATTAAGGCAGTGTTAAGCAAATTAAAGTTTAGATGTTAAATAAATAGAAAACCAGTACTGGTTAAATTAACATGACCAAAGCTGTTGAATTTATAACATATTCTGAAACTCACATCCGCAGGTGACATTGCAAGTATGGATATCAACTCACTGAACATAGATACCTATTATAAACTTATGAATTTATTTTTTTCCAAATAACCAGATGGATGATTCCTGTCCTAAACAAACATCTAGCAAGTATTAGACTCATACTCATCGACTTAAGTAAAACGTTTGTAAACTTGTACAATGTGTGCACTGCATGAGCCCACCTCTTCAGACTCTGTAGTGTCTATTACTGTTTGTAAGTGGACTGAATACTGAGAGGTTCATTAGGAACAGGGTTAGAATGAAAAGAATGGCACTTTGAGCCACTTTCCTTAAGAGTACAGGATTCCCATGCAGAATTATGTTAAGTAGAAGGGCATACAGAAACAGAAAAACTATACATTAAAAGACTGACCTCTCTTGCCACAGGGCTGTGAACAATTCAAATTATGGTTGGAGAGCCCTGAGACTGTTGGCACGGAGAAGCCCTCACTTCTTTCAGCCAACCAACCAGCAGTTTAAAAGTTTGCCAGAGTATCTCGAAAACATGGTAATAAAGCTAGCCAAGGAATTACCAGTAAGTAACATAGATCAATTTTTTTCATACCCTTTAGTTGACATCTTTAAAGTTGCTATCATTATTTGAGCAAAGATCTGAATTTAAAGTTCATCATGTGAAAAAAATATTGATCCACAAACCTCCATGTTTTAGAATGAGGAAAAAGTGCATTTAAATTGATAAGTAACTGATGACTTTCTAAACAGCATGTAATTTAATGCAAGGTCACAATACTTCGGGTAAACTACTGTCCACCTGTAAACTCAGACATGAATTTTTCCTGTTGCCAATGCTTTATATGGTCTTTTATCAAACACAGGGTCTAAGGCATAGCAGTAGGGAACTTGGCCAATCTTTCTACTCTGTTCTCTTTTCCAATAAAATTCTTCTTTTTTTGGTGGCTGGCTGGTATGGGGATCCAAACCCTTGACCTTGGTGTTACAAGGCTGTGCTCTGACCAACTGAGCTAACTGGCCAGCCCTTCCAATACACATTTCTAACTGCATTACTACAGTACGGTAATAATGATACTGTGTGCCTAAAATCTAATGAAATTACTCAAAAACTTTTAAGGACACTGTTGCTCCCCAGTCTTCCTAAACCCTAGGTTATTTGCAAATTATCTTTTCATGCTTTCCAGCACCTTCTGGGGTGGGGACAGGGGAGTCTTTCCAACTTTCAGGTCTTTTCCTCTTCACTCCTTCTGTAAATTTACTGCCACACTTATGATCCTTACCTGAAATTCACATTTAACATTCAGGGGGGTAAGGTGCTGGGGCCCTGTACTCAGAATCTCACAACCACTCTTAACAAAAAGTATCTACAGTTATCTTACTTGAGAAGTTTACATTCTTTTAAACATTTTAAAATCATTTTTAGCCTCCTCCTGAAGAAATAAAAACAGGTGAGGATGAAGATGAGGAAGATAATGATGCTTTACTGAAGGAAAATGAAAGTAAGAATTGAATTTTCTTGGCTATTTTACAAAATTGGAAAAGAATGGGGTTCTTTGTTGAGAGGTACGTTATTTAATTTGATCTGCTTCTCAACTTCCACCATTTTATCTCACCTCTGCTTCTGACATATAGTGAGGAATTAAAAACACTGCTTAAAAAATTTAAAAATATTACATTTTATGCAATAAAATCTGGAAGTGATGGCATTTTAAAAGGGAAGGAAGATATATACCTTTGGAGGCAACCCATACCTCTTAATTATTGGGGATTTGGAGGGGGGCAGCTCATTTCACAATTATAATAGAGGTAGCAGCTGCAGCTTTATTGGTTTCATGATCGTGAATGTAAGAGCGGTATTGAACCCATGGAGAATCTAAAAAAGAACTGTTTTACTTTTAAAATAAAACTTACTGAAAGTGATTAATAAATCAATGGCCCCATAGCTGTCAGGTGTTGTATACTTAGAATTACACGTCAGTGTACTTTGCACATAATTTATATTCTATGTCTTGTAGGTCATGATGTTCGGCGAGACAAACCTGTGACAGGGGAACAAATAGAGGTATTTGCCAACAAGCTGGGTGAACAATGGAAGACTCTGGCTCCCTACTTGGAAATAAAAGACTCAGAAATTAGGCAGATTGAGTGTGATAGTGAAGACATGAAGATGAGAGCTAAGCAGCTCCTAGTCGCCTGGCAAGATCAAGAGGGAATTCATGCAACGCCTGAGAACCTGATTAATGCACTGAATAAATCTGGATTAAGTGACCTTGCAGAAACTCTAACTAATGACAATGAGACAAATAGTTAGCTTTTTTTTTTTTTTTTTTTTATTAAAACTGTGATAAGATTTTGTTACCAAGCAGCATTTGATAAGAGGTCCACTGGTTTTGGTAAACAATAAACATTTTTATAACAATTGTACAGTTGGCTGGTGCTCCAAGAACAACAGAACATATACTGGCTCAAACCTCAGGGTCTGGGGTGATGGGAGGGTGGGTTCGGAAGACAGCCAAAATGAAGTGACCTCAACATCACAAAATATATTTTTGTTGAATAAACAAATTTATTTATGAAGTTAAATAAGTGACATTTAGGGAAATGTTTCCTATACCAAATTATTTTCCTTCATGCTGTCAGTAGTTATAAAATGTAGCTACTCTGAAATTCCAAAATAACACTTTCTGAAACCATGACTGCTCTAATCTTACTTTTTCATGCTTTACGCAGAGGATTGGCAAACAGTTTGCTCACCACGATTCTATAATTAACATTTTACCTGCGTCAAGCCATGCTTACTTGTCTGTGACTCCTGTTGAACTACAACAAAAAGTTAAGCAGTTGCAACAGACACCTTATGTTTCCTATCTGGCCCATTATAAAAATGTTTGCCAACCCCAACATGGGGTAGAGTCTAAAACCTTGCTCTTCTAGCCTAACAAAAATTACTTTTGACCTCTCAGGTCTTTCAATGGCAGTTGCAACAGACACCTTATGTTTCCTATCTGGCCCATTATAAAAATGTTTGCCAACCCCCAACATGGGGTAGAGTCTAAAACCTTGCTCTTCTAGCCTAACAAAAATTACTTTTGACCTCTCAGGTCTTTCAATTACCTCCTCGGATTATTGTGAAGTTCAAATGAGATGTACGTGAAAGCTACCTGCACATAGCAAAGCACGATGTAGTGACTGCTGAAGTTAGTACCATCTACTCGTCCTCTTCCCACCCAAGCATTTTCCTATAGATGCTCAGATTAGGTCGCTGTTATTTTTAATCCTGAAGAAGGGCAACTGACTGCATATTATAATGTAAATGCTCTTGGGGCCTAACCACTAGCCAACGAGTGATCTGGCATGGCTCAAATGCTGACATGGTCTCAGTGTTAGTGGCACAGCATATAAGGCACATTCAGGAAACAAGATTTATTTTTTTTGTCTACTCTCCCTTCTCAAAGGCCTTACATGCAAGGCTGAATTATAAAATAGCCTTATTAGTTTAAAACACTGGTATATATCCAATTTCTACATTAAAAATTTCTTTGGAATAATGCTTTAGATCAGATCAAATGAAATCAACCTTTTTATAATGATGACGAGGAATTACACAATTTTTAAAATTTTAATACATTCCATACAAGACCTGGTCTAGTAGCTACAGCATCCAGCAAGTCAAAATCTGAATTCTAATTGCTAAATTTATGTCCTCATAAAATTGTTCTGACCAAATGAGACAATAAAAAAGACTGAGAAGTGACAGGCATCTTACAAACAAATGAATCATTAAAGTTCTTAGGTCTCATCCTCCCCATTCTATTCTTCATTCCCCCTCCCAAAGTAAAAAATTGCCAATAGTCAAACTTTAGATGAGGAAGCTATTTACAAATTCCCTAAAATACTTATTTTATCCCGTAGTCGTCTCAGATTACATCACACTGCACAGGTTTGAGAGGAAAATGGCTGTCATTCTCTAGGAATCTAATAGCAGTATTGTGCTCTGCAGAGCAATAAAACAACATAAGCAAAGACAGAGCTGTCATGATAATCCCCAACATTATTATAAATACCTAACTGAAGGAAAATCAGAAAAATTAGCTAATATTCTATCATTTATCCTTTCCCTAGCAATCAAGGTTCCTGAAACAAAGATGAGTGACTAATTAGAATGTATTAGAATGTAAAAAACCTATCATAGTCAAATGCCTCATCCTCTTGGTGTTTTCTCCCATCACTGTTAAAACCACTGATACTAAGATTTTAGGAGTCAACAGGAGAGTAAAAGCAAACACCAACTGAGCCAAAGAACAAATCTGACTAATAACATTACTGCATTTAGCATCCAAAGAAACCCATTACTTTTACAATTCCGTATTCCTTTTTAAGTGGAAATGGGCAAAGAAGATAACATATTTTAAAATGGATGCATATAACAGCGCAGTAAAATTAACCATCTGCAGAAATTGTATAGTATTAAATATAGCTGAATCTTTAGCCAAGCTCCAACACGCAAAAGACGAAAGACTTGAGGTCAAAAGCTGTTAATCCCTCTTTTTATTTCTTATTAAATAACCTCATTTTCTAAAAATAAGCAACCAGAGCTTGTCAACATTTTTTTAAGGTTGGTTACTACAAAACCATTGCAAAGTTAAATGTACAAACCATAGTACATCAGAGAGAGACACAATAATAAATGTATAATCAAATACTATTATTGATCACAATTTATTTTAAAGTCATGAAAAGCCAGCAACAGTCAAGCTGGACAAATACTTGATTGTGTCCATGTTTCCATGGGATGTGGACAGCAGCACTGAGTTACACAATGAGGGCATCATTTCCTTTTCCACCTTCCTGGGAAAACTTTTGTTAGATAAGGCAAAGGATGGACAGCTACCGAATGGTGGTTTGAACCATGCAAGAACAAAGAATATGGAATAGCTGTGCAAAAACCATCAGACTGCTCAATTTGGGGCTGAAAAGGGCAGGGAGGAAAATTATCACAGCAGGAAATGGTTCAAGGGCATTCCAAATCAGAAATTTTAAAAATTAATGCAAGAAATAAGCATTTAAAAAATGTTTTTCTGCCACCTTTATATAGGGCAGCACAATCCAAAGGTGATTTTCTCTTTCCTGTAATTTTTAGGTTGATGCATGGAGTGGTCTGCTTCTGCCCTCTTCTGTCGCACAGAGGGGAAACAAAAAACCACCTAAATATCTCCCCCTAAAGCTCTGGATTATAGAAATGATCAACAAATAACATTTATTTCACACCTGCATAAATAGCTAGAATGAAGATTACTGTTCACTTTCCTCTTCCATTATTTCAACTCTGCGAGGCCCATAGAGTAAAACATAAGCAATATGCCAGTCTCCACCACCAGAAAGCCGCAAGATATCTTCTGGTGTTACTATGCTGACCTTATCATCATCAAACTTAATCCATTCACCTAGATAACAAGAGAGAAGAAAATGAAATTAATATACATACTTCTCAGAGTTCCACTGCAAACAAAGGTACTCTGGATACACGGTAGTACTCCATCTGCCATACCAACGGTTCTCAAAGTGTGATCCAGGGACCACACAGATTCAAGAAAATTTCAGGAGATTCCATGAAATTACAATTATTTCAATAACACTAATAAAGCAATGCCTTTTCCACCCTCATTCTCTCAAGTGTATTTTGGAATTTCCCATACACTACATGGTGCATGATAACGCAACAGACTACAGAAACAGATGAGAATCCAGCTGTCTTCTATTAATTAAGCCAGACAAGAGAAAGACTTATAAAAATGTAAAATCAATACCACTTATAAGTTTTTTTGTTTTAGAAAATGTCATTTTTAAAAACTTATGTTAATATGTACTGGGGTTTATTACTGTAATTTTTAAATGACTTCTTTTAATTTCTCAGTTTTAATTTCTAATATAGTAAATATTAAAAGATATAAACCTCATAAACAAAAGCTCCTTAAAGTCTCAATAATTAAGAATGTAAAGGGGTTCTGAGACCAAAAGGTTTGAAAACCACACTGCTATAAAATTTATAATAAACTGTTAAAACAGTATTTTACAGTTGAAAAAAATAATACTTTACCTTGTTTCCTTTTCACCCATGATACATAATGACCTGAAGAACTAGACCTTCCCTGGTGTGTCAGCACTGCTTGTAAGTCGTAGTATCCACAATTATTGGAGCCAATATCTAGAGAGAGATGGAAACGCATTAATGTTAGACAATGAAAAGAAGTGCTTTCTTAGGCTAGGTAACAGTCCAGAATAACTCTGAAGTTTAGATTAGAGAAGCACTACTTTATTAAATCCAGTAAGCTAGTACTGTCCAATCAAAGTTAAGGCTTCATAAATAATGTTTTATGAAGTATATAATTCACAGAAATGTATGCTAAAAAGATTAATCTTACTGTATGTCATATTAAAGTAAATTAATCTTCTAGAAACCTGAGTTTTAAAAAAAAGGAATGAATAAACAGATTTGTGGCAAGACAGTAATTTTAACCTTAAAACACACATACACACACCCCCGATTGACATGAAAATTTCACTTACCATCAGCAAAAGAAAAGGGTTCATACTTAACTTCTTTCTGGGGACTACTTTTGTTGTCACTCTGAAGAAAAAAAGATTTTATTTTAAATTATGATATTGAAAATAAAATTTATATTCTCTATGAGTATTCAATTTCACAAATACTGTCTACATAATGTACAGCACTGAGGCAAAATATAGTCTACCTTACAAATTATTAAAATGATATAACTACAGCTAACATAAAACTATAAATCCAGAGGTCCTACACTGTAACAACATACAATCTTGTTACAATTCAGTAACAGACCCCCCTGGTTGTTATGACCAACTTTAAACCACTAAAGCTAGAGCATACCCGTGAATATAGCAGTATAGTTACACGGTGCTCGAGGGTAGAAAAGGAAAACCCAATTCCGTTATTTTACCCAAACACTATCAAACCACATAGGTGAAAAAGCAAAAAAAGAAGTGTCTCAAAAAAACAAGAGAAGTCAATTTACTGCCACATATTAAAATTACTAAGCCATGGCCATCTGCCACTTCAGGCCAAATGAATCGAAATTTATTCCACAAAGACTTACCTACATTAAAAGAGGCATGATTTACTACATTAGACAAGGACCTTTACTAGGAACTCACTGCCTCAAGTCAGTGTATAATACAAAAAATTAAGCAACTTCTCTAGGCACAGGGCACAAAGTTCTTGAAAACTATAATGGGAATGAAGACAATGCCAGCAGTTTAAAGACAGCTAGGATGGCAAGAAGTCAAAGAATCCTACAACAAAAAATGGCAATGAAATCAGCCATTCCTTCTTTTATACAGAAAATACAATACCTNCAAAAAGGTGGTAAAGTCATACTAACACAAACACAAGAACTTCCTCTTGAGACAGAAATACTGGAAAGGGAATAACTTTCTCACCATGTAATTCAATTCTACTCAATACCAGGTCTTTGTCTATGCAAAAGCACCTTCCAAGACACCAGGCCCATGAAGCCCATACTCTGGGAATTGCTGTAATACAAGTGCAACAGATTTGCACAAGCAGGAAAGAAACATCTGGATGGAGTGTGAGAAAAACTTTAGGGAGAAAGTCATCTTTCAGGGACTTTCAATAATATCCAGGGTTTCATTATAAATGAAATTCAGGAAGAGCATTCCAGACTGATTGAATAGAAAAGAGACATGGCTTCTACATTGTGAATGGCCTGAAATTCTAGGCCATGGGCTTTGGATCCAGCACTTCTCATTTTCTCAAATGTTTTCCAAGTCAGTAGATGTTCAAGTTCCTATTTTTAGGTTCTTCTATATAAGAGAGATAAGGCAATGTGGTCCAAGGTATCTAGATAAGGCCCATGTGGATAGAATAATTAAGACTAGTGGATTTTGACTTTTTATACCACTGAGGGCCCATTTTGCATTTACCTTCATGCATTCCTGGCTTTGAAATATTTCAGTCTACTAAACTGCATGACATAAGTCTTGATGATTGTCTTTCTGTTTTCTTGGCTGATGGTATACATTCTCCCCACTCATCATAAGAGGTTGGTACTGACCACACTGAGTTGCTCTGATTCCAGCCAAAAGTATTGGGGGCTTTGACAGGGGGATCAACTGGAGTGATCTCATTTGGGCAACTGTGTAACGAGGAACTCTGACTCCTAATTAAGTACTCTCCATGCTGGACCTCTATTGCCCTGCTCTGGCTCCACATGAAGAGTATGAATTCAGGGCCAGTTCTCCAGGGCCACAGACTATATTACACCACAGAGGACTAGTATGAGAATGAGAACAGAACAGCCTTGATGGGATTTTTTTTTTTTTTTTGAGGAAATGGACAAGCTGATCCTAAAATACACATGGAAACACAAGGGACTTACAAGAGCTAAAACAATCTTCAAAAAGAAGAACAAAGTTGAAGGTGCACACTTCACAATTAGAAAACTACAGTGTAATCAAGACAGTGTGGTACTGGCATAAGGAGAGACATACAGACCAATGGAATAAAACTGACAGTCCAGAAATACATTCATACATTTATGCTCGACTGATTCTCTACAAAGATGCTACGACCATTCAATGGGCAAAGATAGTCTTTTTAAAAAATGATGCCAGAACAACTAGGTAGGCACATGCAGAAGTATGGACTTGGACCCCTACTACACACCATATAAAAAGTTAACCCAGAACGGATCGAAGACTTAAAGGGAAGAACTACAACTATAGAACTCTTAGAGGAACATATATGCATAAATCTTTGTGGCCTTGAATTAAGCAATGACAGATATGATGACGAAAGCACAAGCAACCAAAGAAAAAACAGATTGGATTTCATCAAAATTAAAAAACATTTCCTCTGCAAAAGACCCTACATTAAGAAGATGACACAGAGTATACTTACACAAACCTACATGGCCTAGTCCACTACACACTTATAAGATGTAAAATATACCCCAGATTCTGAAGTCTGAGCATGAAAAAAAATGTAAAATATCTCATTAGTAATTTTTACATTGAGTAACACTGAAATAGTATTTTTGATATATTAGGTTAAATAAAATATATTATTAAAACTTCACTTTTCGGGCCAGCCCGGTGGCTCACTCGGGAGAGTGTGGTGCTGATAACACCAAGGCCCCGGGTTTGGATCCCATATAGGGATGGCCGGTTCGCTCACTGGCTGAGCGTGGTGCTGACAACACCAAGTCAAGGGTTAAGATCCCCTTACCGGTCATCTTTTAAAAAAAAAAAAAAAGAAGAAGATGACAAGCTACAGATGGGGAGAAAATATCTGCAAATCACATATCCAACAAAGGACTAATATCTAAAATATAAAGAACTCAAAACTCAAAAGTAAAATTAACAGTCCAATTAAAAAACAGCCAAAAGACAAGAAGAAACATTACACCTGAGAGATCATATAGATTCAAATAAGCACGTGAAGATGTGCTCAACGTTGTTACCCAACAAGGAAATGCAAAGGAAAACAAAATGAAGTATCAGTACAAATCTACTCAATGGCTAAAATAATAAATAGGGACAACATCACATGCTGGTGAGAATGCAGAGAAAGATTAGTCACACACTGCTGATGGGAGTGTAAAATGGTACAGTCGCTCTAGAAAACATCTGGCAGTTTCTTGAAAAATTAAGCATGCAACTGCATGCAATCTAGCAACTGCACTCCTGGGCATGCATTTCAAAGAAATGAAATTTATGTTTACACTAAAACATGTACACATGTTTATAGCAGCTTTGTTCGTAATAGCAAAAACTGGAAACAATCCAGATGTCCTTAAATAGAAATTTTGTGGTATATCCAAACAATCCGATGTCCTTAAACAGGAATTTTGTGGTATATCCAAACAATCTGATGTCCTTAAACAGGAATTTGTGGTACACAGGGAATACTACTCAGCAATAAAAAGAAAGGAACATACACATACACACAACAACCTGGATGAATCTCCAGAGAACTAGGCTGAGTGAGAAAAGTCAATCCAAAAAGGTTACATTCAAAAATTGAAGAGTTTTTATTTATATAACTTTCTTATAGAAATGGAGAACAGGTTAGTGGTTGCCAGGAATTAAGGAGGGGGTGGAGCAGAAGGGAAATGGGTCTGTGGCTACAAAGGACAATTAAGAGGGATCTTTGTGGTGATGGAAATGCACTTTATCTTGACTGTATCAATGTCAATATCCTGGTTGTGATACTGCATTATAGTTTTGCAAGATGTCACCACTGGGGGAAACTGGGTAAAAAGCACTTAGGATCTCTGTATTATTTCCTATAACTACATGAGATTCTACAATTATCTCAAAATAAAGTTTAATATTTTAAAAACTGCTTTTAATAGACATATAAATAGTAACTGCAGAATTTTAAAACTTGAAACATTTCTCATTACCAGTAAATGTATTTTTCATCCTGAAGAAAAAAATTCAACATAGAATACAACTATACCATGTCTGAACCTAAAATTGTAATTTATTAAATATAAATTTGCTACAATTATGAGTTTAGCAATTACAGGCATACCAGCAGCACCTATTAAAAGATATGACTTAGGCCGGCCCGGTGGCGCACTGCTACAGTGCGCCGTTTGGGAGTGCGGTGGCGCTCCCGCTGAGGGTTCGGATCCCACATACAGACCGGTTCCCGCTCACTGGCTGAGCGAGGTGCGGTCGCGACACTGAGGGTTGCGATCCGTTGCCGGACACGAAAAAAGACAAAAAGGAAAAAAAAAAAAGATATGACTTAGTCAGTACAGTGGGCATAAATGAGCCAATATTCTGTACCTCCAATCCCATCTAAAAATGAGGATAATTCTATGCCTTACAAGAAAAATAACACATGCTGAAAATAGTAAGATTTTATGTTAAGTGCTTTGAAGAGATAAATACAAAAGTAACATAAGCTGCAGATTACAAAGGAAAAGATATTAAACTTATTCTACCAGAAAGAACTCGTTTACCATAATTATAGTTCCTGTTTCTTATGCTAAAATACTCCTAAAACTTTAAAGGCTTTCACCAATGTATATGGGATGTATATATCTAATGGAAATACAACTGACCCCGAACAACATGGGTTTGAAAAATATCTGCATATAAGCAGACCCACACAGTTGAGGAATTTCCTTTTTACAGTAGTCCTTACAATGGGTTCACTTATCTAAGAGCACAGTATATAATACATATAACATAAAAAATGTGTTAATTGTTTATGTTATCAGTAATGTTTGGTCAACAGCAGGCTATTATTAGTTAAGTTTTTGGGGAGTCAAAAGTTATACACGGACTTTTGACTGCATGGGGGCTAGGTCCCCTAACCACCAAATTGTTTAAGGGTCTACTGTATAGTTCATCCATTTTTGCTAATAGATTAGCAATAACTGCTGAGCACCGATCAAAGATTAAAATATTAAGATTAGAAAATCAACAATAAGAACCTACTGTATTTGGTTGTTGACTGACTTTTTTATCTTCTAGATCCTTGAATTTTGATCGAAAAGAAACCATTTTCTCTTGAAGTTCTGGTGTACATAGTTCATACACATCCAACATAAGAGGAAATTTAACATCCTACATACAGACAAAAAAAAATGTGTAAAAAGACTTACAAAGATGGCTATTGAATATACCTATCACACTTTTAAAGTAATGCTTTCATAATTCAAGTAAAGTTGAAAATAAAATCTTGTAAAAATCACTTGGAAATCTCTGCAGTTGAAAACCTTTTAGTGCTTATTTTCAAGAATGATATGGTTCTAACTTTTTTAAGGTAAGAAATTTCCAAAACTTTGTTTTTCCATTATATATTCTAACCCATAATAGGACCCCAGAGGAAGTACCAAAATTTACATAACAGAAGAAGCATTTCAGAAATATTAATACCAGTTGCTGTGAAAATAACGAATCCCCAAAACCAGAGTCAACTTACAAATGTTTTTGTTTGTTTTTTAATTTGAAATTCAATTTTACATAGCAACAATAGTGGTATGGTTCAATCTTATACTAAAAAATATCTAAAGTAAATACTGGTGGACAATCTACATTTAACCTTCTAATATAACACTAAGTATATTGGAAAATGTATTATGAACTTCAACTCAAGAGGCTAGAATTAGGGCCGGCCCCGCCGCTTGGGAGCGCGTGTATATTGGAAAATGTATTATGAACTTCAACTCAAGAGGCTAGAATTAGGGCCGGCCCCGCCACTTGGGAGCGCATCGGTGCTCCCGCCGAGGGTTTAGATCCCACGTGGAGACCGGTTCCCGCTCACTGGCTGAGCGTGGTGCAGGTGCAACACCGAGGGTTGCGATCCCGTTACCGGTCAGTAAAAAAGACAAAAAGGGGAAAAAAAAAAAAAAGAGGCTAGAATTATATAGCTTGTACCAAGGATCAAGAACTCTATGGATATGTGACAGAGCTACAGCTCATAACAATTAAAGTACTCTTTGGGCACCACTCTCTTCTTTCACCTGGAAGAAAGGAACCACCTAGAACACAGTGCAGTGTGTTCTACTGTCTCCTACCTCACTTCCAGGCCCAAACCTACTGAATTGGAATCACTGAAGTTGAAGATCTGGTCTAGGACAGTGTATCTGAGGAGTACAGGAGATCCATCAGAATTATCTATTAATCTTTTGAAAAACTAAGCAGATGTTAGGACTAGGGAGAGAAACGAGGCATGTGTATAATTGAGAATAAGAAAGGACAACAGATAAGTCCAATACGCATTCTTGGTTAAAAACCACTTGTCTAATGCTAGTAACTCCCTAAATATTTCAAAGAAAGCTTAGCTATCCCTAAAGGAATACAGAAACCTATTATAAATAAGAAACTGTCTTCAAAAAATTATACTTTATATACAAACTGAAGTTCATTACCAACCTTAAGAACTTTGGCATTCACAGATTCCTTCTCTTTATAAAAAAATCGAACCATCTGAATAGTTAAGTAACCAGGTAGCCGGCTGATCTTGGACTGAGGAGAAAAAATAGAAAGAAATCCTGTTACATCCAAATACCACACAAGTTTTCCATTCTTTGGCGGTAAAAACAAAGACTGGGTAAAATTAATTAACTGAAAACCTTTCAATGAAATGAAATTTGATTTCAAAAGCAACTGCACAACTTACAGATTTGATGTACAAAGCATTTCTTTGCAATGTTGGAGACTGTTTTGTGATTTCTTCCTGAAGTCGCTACAAAAGAACATAGAAAATCAAACATTAGTTTTAAAGAATTTCTTTCTGCAATACGAACCACACCTCTAATTATTTTAAAAATCAGCACTACTTAATAGACAACTAGAGCACATCAATGGATTTATACAACTGAGAAACAATTTGAATGAAGACAATATGTGAAGGTTTTTAGATATTGTTCAATTCTTATAAGGCATCAAATAATTCATTTGGGTGTAAATGTTTGAAGTTTTTTAGATATGACCCAAATGTTCCTCATATTCAGAGATTTTATATTTTATATAACTAGCAAAGCCTTCTGTCATTCCTCTATTTGTGCATTATCAGAGTATTCATACTGACTGGCTGGTTAGCTAAGCTAGTTAGAGCACGGCCTTATAACACCATGGTCACAGGTTTGGATCCCTATACCAGCCCTATTTGTGCATTATCAGAGTATTCATACTGACTGGCTGGTTAGCTAAGCTAGTTAGAGCACAGCCTTATAACACCATGGTCACAGGTTTGGATCCCTATACCAGCTAGCTGCCCCCCCCCAAAAGAATATTCATACTAGAGGATAACTAAGAGAACGCAGAAAACCCTTGTTCTGTATGTATAAAAGCCTTCCAGCACCGATCAATTATTGTTAAATTTGAGAAAAGTCATAATAGAAAACCTCTGTTAACCTAACAGATGTGGGAAAGCCCTTAGCCATTATATATATCTTAACCATAATGATCACCTTTCCACTTCTTACAGCCTGTGTGGCACTGGGCAAGATATTTACCTCTGACATCATATGTAAAAGGTGACAACACAGTATCTATATTATAGTGCTTTTGTTAGAATTACACAAGTTAGTACATGTAGAAAACCAGGCAATTATTTGGAATATACTCTATGTTCAATAAACATAACCTACTATTTCTAATGTTTAAAAAAAAAAACCCAAAAACTGGCACTACTAATGTGCTCTGTTTTAAGAAAATAAACAAATAAGAAATCAGAATTAGGGGCCAGCCCATGGCTCACTCGGGAGAATGCGGTGCTGATAACACCAAGGCCACAGGTTCGGATCCCATATAGGGATGGCTGGTTGGCTCACTGGCTGAGTGTGGTGCTGACAACACCAAGCCAAGGGTTAAGATCCCTTTACTGGTCATCTTTAAAAAAAGAAAAAAAGAAAGAAAAAAAATCAGAATTAAAACAATTTACTGTTAATGCTTACTATAAGCATATTACACTTATAATACTTTTTAAAGTTTGATTTTTTTAAAAATTACTAATCACATTACAAAAGAAATCACTGTGGAGTAGCTTTTTAACATTTAACCAGGTTTATTTAGCAGCAAAAAGGTAAAGAAACATGGAGTCATATTAGTTAAGAATAATCAGAACAAATGATGACAAAGCATCTTAAAAATTATAAAGAAGGGCCGAGCCCGTGGCGCACTCGGGAGGGTGCGGCGCTGGGAGCGCAGCAGCGCTCCTGCCAGTGGGTTCGGATCCTACATAGGGATGATCGGTGCGCTCACAGCGCTCACTGGCTGAGCGTGGTGGGGCCAGTCTCAAAAAAAAAAAAAATTATAAAGAAAATAAATATATCTTAGGAATACTCGTATGTTTTTCAAGAAAGGATACCTCGTGTAATGTTATTTATCAGGTAAGTCATACCTATTGTCACCAATCCACTGTCACCTGGAACTTCCAAGTATATTTGGTTTTCCTATAATTTTACAAAATTATGAAGAAAATATCATCCTGAAGAGTCTGTACCAAAGCAATCTATTCCACACTCTCTAACACCTACATTTCATTTTTTGATGGCCTGAAACTTGTACATCATGATTTATGTGATGTGACTATTGGTGGTTGGCTAGTATTTGTGTGCTTTTAAATGAACACCTCTTAAAAGCCACTACGCTCATATCCACACACCACCTCAACTCTCCCCTCAGAATCACTAAGCAAAGAATCTCTCTCTTCTTGCATCTTCATTTACCAACTCTTCCCCTCACCAACTTTACCCCACATTGTAGATGTGCAAACCCTGCCCATGGGCCCACCCCTTCTGCCCATGCCAGTCCTCTGTACAGAGGACTCATTCAAATATTTCATTGTATTTCACTATTTTTCTCCTTAAAGATCTCTCCTAATTGGTCGTGGCTAGAGGAGATAGCAAAGAAGACTGACTGAAGTTTTTAAAAATTCTACCTTCCAGGCCCTTCTTCAAATATCTGGCTAACTTTTAAAATAAACAATCCCAATATCAGTTCCTTTGAAAGGCAGTAGAATCATATGAACTGCAATTTAAAAACTATTAAAAGATATCAGTTCAAACTGAAATCAAGAGATATACATATTCCCCAAAAACCAAACTAATAAGGCAGCAAGCAAAAGCATTAGTTTATCAATCTGCTCATTAGCAGAGCGGGAGCATACATTTTATGAGTATGTACATTCTTTAGTATGGAACTAGGGAAAGAATACTTATGGAATAATGAGAAAAGTGAATTGTAGTTCTGGCTCTGCCACAAACCAATTACGTCGCTTAAATTCTAGGGCCTCAACTGCAGGACAGTGCAATGACAGAATGACTATATGCCCTGATTTGCACAGGACAATCCCAGTTTATACCTCATAATTATTATTAACACACACTCATTAACTCTCCAAAGTGTCCTGGTTTAGACAATAAATTATATGGTCCTTCTTAATGGTTAAGAGGAGGAACTTGCCGGCCCGGTGGCGCACTGCTACAGTGTGCCGCTTGGGAGCGCGGCGGCGCTCCCGCCGAGGGTTCGGATCCCACATACAGACCGGTTCCTGCTCACTGGCTGAGCAAGGTGTGGGCGCAACACCAAGGGTTGCGATCCCGTTGTCGGTCCCGGTCCGGTACAGGCGCGACACTGAGGGTTGCGATCCGTTGCCGGACACAAAAAAAGACAAAAAGGAAAAAAAAAAAAGAGGAGGAACTTGGCAGTCAATTTTACAAGAATTCTCATTTAATCCATACAACAAACCTCTGATTACTTTCATTTTCATGTAAGAAAACAGAAGCTTAGACCAATTAAGTAACTTTCCTTAAAGTTAATACTCCAAGTATGTTACAGGGCCCATAAAAACAACTCTAAGGAAAGACTTAATCTACTCTTACTCAACAAACATTTATTGAGTGCTCTAAAATAAAGCAAGGCACAGTCCAAAGTACTAAGTGCTGCTTTACTGTGTGACACAGGAGTATCTAAACTGATTAAAAGATACCCTAATATTTATAGGTATATGCAACCATGTTAATAATGTTTTTGTCTATGAAATGAAGGGTTAGCTGAAGTTTGCTTGATTTCTGAATATACAGCTGATTCTTGTTACTCACAGTAATGTTCTACAAGTCACCTCAAGCACTGAATTAGTGAGTATGTTACACTGCTCCTGGGGGAAATACAGGATTAAGTTCCTGTGAGCCTCTAGTCACAGCATTTTCAACCAATCAATACATAACCTTGTTTCTATGTGCATTTTTGTTTAAAGACACTTTATTTCATATACACAGTCCCCGACTACAATGGTTTTCAACTCACAATTTTTCAACTTTACAATGATGCGAAAGCAATATGCATTTGGGAGAAAATCTACTTCAAATTTTGAATTTTGATCTTTTCCCTGACTAGGGATATGCAGTACCATAGTCTCTTGCAATGCTGGGCAGCAGCACAGAATCACAAGGGTAAACAATTTTGCCCAAATGTAAGTTAATGTAAGTGTTCTGAGCACATTTAAGGTAGGTTAGGATAAGCTATGATGTTCAGTATGTTTTGTGTATTAAATGCATTTGCAACTCAGGATATTTTCACCTTACAATGGGCTTATCAGGATGTTACGTAATTTGAGGAACATCTATAGTGTTGATTCATAGACACTGAACTCACAGCCAACAGCACTCATGCCCAAATGAAACCTCTCTCACCCATTTATTTTCTCAGTAAGGCACCTCACCTCACAGCCTTCTTGCACTTAGGAACATTAAACAGCACTTTAGCACTATGTTTGGGAGTCATTTTAAAAAACAAAATCACCAACAAAAAGCACAAAAACAAAAAAACATGACACTAAAATTATTGCAGAAAGAAAGAATACTGCGTTTTACCTTAGCTGGAACAGTGTATGCCAAGCAACTCAAAAATTGTGCTGCTCTGCGCACATCTGCAAATGACTACTAAAGCACAGCAAGTATTGACTTTGAAGTCACAACAAATTTTAGCAAATAGGTGCATTCACAAATATGAAACCTGCAAATAATGGGAATTGACTGGGATTGTCCTTACCAATTTAAGTCCTGTAAAAAGATACTTGACTTCCTGATTGATAAAACAGCTAAGTTGAAGCTGATTTTCCTTTCCTTTGGTGACTTCTTCTTCTTCAGATTCTGTACATTTCATGCTTCACAAAGTAAGATAAGGAATATGCCAATAGATACTCAATTTGTTATATAATCTTGAATATAATTAATTATCCTAATGCTATTAAATTTAACAATATCATTCATTGGTATTTAAAACATGTTGGTCTTCCAACAGAGATTCATTTTAACATACTTAAGAACACTTGTTTGCTTACCAACAACTATATAAACAACAATGGGTAATGAATATGTGATTAAGGTAAACTGCAAATAAATCTAAACAAACATAAATTGCTATTTAGTGTGGTCTTAAAATGATCTTAATAACCCAAAGATACATAAACAGATATCTTTTCTAAGTTTCTACCCAAAACCTATAAAACAGTACTTCCCTGAATACATATTTTATGAATTGGCTCAATCTCATGTATATAATTTAGTTAATTCACACCATTAAAAATTAATTTTTTGGGGCCGGCCCGGTGGCGCACTGCGCTAGTGCGCCGCTTGGGAAGCGCGGAGGCGCTCCCGCCCGAGGGTTCGGATCCCACATACAGACCGGTTCCCGCTCACTGGCTGAGCGAGACGTGGGGGCAACACCGAGGGTTGCGATCCCGTTGCCGGTCCCAGTCCGGTACGGGGGCGACACTGAGGGTTGCAATCCGTTGCCGGAAATGGAAAAAGACCAAAAAAAAAAAAATTAATTAATTTTTTGGCTTCTGGTGAAGATGGTGGAATAGACAGCCCCCAGCATCACTCTCTTCCACAAATCAACCAATTTACAACTATTAAAAAGCAACGATATGGGCCGGCCCGGTGGCGCACTGCTACAGTGCGCCGCTTGGGAGCGCGGCGGCGC